GTGTGTGTGTGTGTGTGTGTGAGGAGGAGGGTGCATGTGTTTTGTGCATATGCTTGTGTGGGAGAGAGCATGTTCCAACAAAAGGCCTAAAAATAGTAGGAATATGCCCATGTGACATATTGAGGCTAAAAGCTTGTGAATAATTTGTCTAATGCAACACATACCCCCTTCCGATGCTCAGTCATGAAAATATGCTCCTGCAGGTTACCTCTGCCAGCCAGTTAAGTTGGAAAGAGGTAACAAGTCTGTTCAGTCACCCCAGTTGCTTTGTCTCTCTGGGAGCATGATATCTCATGGATTTAGATGGGATTTGGTGGATGAATGGCTCCTTGCCTTTGGATTTACTTGATCAGATATTGGTGGTGGTGATCTTGAATTTTTGTTCTCCCGATGTTTATTTTGGTTTTCATATAGAATGAGGATGAGGTTGATTGGAGACTCCAAACTGACCATTGGGTGAATGTGAGTGTGGATGTTGTCTCTCCGTATGTCGGTCCTGCATTCGCTAAATTGGCTCCAGTTCCCCAGCTACCTTTTTAGGTGCATGCTGGTAAATGATTCAAACTCCCCTCTTCATCTCATTTCCTTATCTTAGGTTTCTTATCAATTCCTTCCTTAAAGAAAACCTCAGTCACCAGTTTAACTCCCTTATCTAAACCTCTTAAGTGTGAGTGAAAACAAAAGAGGACATCGGATGCATTTTATCCATTGCATTGTCAGTTACTCACCTGCCACGTCATGTCAGCAATGCAGCTGGTGCATGAAATATAATCACAGTGAATAGGATCAATGGTCACAACTATGAAAATAAGACCAAGCCCTTTTCCACTTTCCACTCGGTCAGAGCTTGTACCACTGTGTACATATACACACAGTATTACAAAGTCCTGCACTTTTAGTGTTCCTGTGGAGTGGATGGTAATGATGACCTTTTTAAAGAGAGATAAAAACCTGCTCCCTGCAATACTCAACTTGTTTCAGAAGTGCATTTAAAATAGTGTGGAGCAGCAGAGAAAAAGGGAACAACAATCAAGAAGGGACAGTTTGCCAATTGTTAGGCAGTGCAAGTAAGACACAACAAAACAGTCAGCAATGTTTACTGACTTCTGATTTTATTTTATCCCCAAAGACAACAATATATAACAGGTCCATATCATATCATATCCTGATTAATCGTTAAAATATATTTAGCCATATTAATATCTAGATAATGATTATCAGGTTTCAATGACTGCTGTTAGTGCTATAGAACAGATAAAACATATGAGAAAGAGGTTTGCTGTTATGCAATGTACACTGTCATATACAGGATATTGTAGATTATAGGTTCATAGCTTTGTGCAAAGTGTTAGATTTATTTTCATTGCTTGGCAGGTGTATAAACAGCCCCTCAGGTAAGACACACATCTTTATCTCCAGAACCACCCACTTGTGTTCAAGTAGTTTACACATGACTTGGAGTGTTTTCAAATCTTCAAGTGTCATTTCGTGAGTTTTTTCATTCCATATGGATGAAACATTAATGCCAGATTGCAGTATTATGTTATGCATGCTGTTTGGAAGGTCTTACATATATGTCTGATGTATGTGGCATTCTCTCACACCTTTTATTCAGAAACTTAAATAACGAAAGATAATTTAAAGCTGCTCCATCCCTGTGCTCTCATGTTGTCCAGAGGTTTGTGCTGTACAACATGCCCACTGATAGTTGTCGTTGTTTAAGCATACCAAGGCAGCTCCCCCTCAAACATTCCTGATCAACATTCGACAATAGCGTGTTTATGTTACACACTCAGCGTTTAGTCAAAGTACATATCCTTTTGTAGTAATATTGATTGTTTGTAGCGCAGAGGAAAGGTCAATTCGGGGTGAATTCATTTGTGTATAAGTGTGTAAAAATCATTAGAATAAAATGTGCATATATTGGCATGACCTCAGGTTTGGCCACATCAGCTCATATAAGCAGACCTCTGGTCAGAAGGTTGTTAAGGTCTGCTGAGTGTGTTGGATAAGAGCAGCGTGCAGTACAGTACTTTACTGCGTTGGCCTAATAGACGGCATGTGAAAAACCTGAATTATTTAAAGCCGTGAGATTGTGTGCACGTTCACACTTGTTCACCCTACGTACCTTATCTTCTTCTCTTTAATTCACCTCTACACCCTCTGAATCACCGTGCATGAAAGTGCGAAAAAGACAAAAGCCACTTTTGCCTGTTGTCCGTATGAAAGGTGCAAATATCTTTTTGTCGGCAGATCAAGCTTGATTGATGGTTGTGTAAAAGAGAAAGCCAGCATGACTGGAGAGGATGACCACACTATTGTCACATGTTACGCCTCTGATTGCAAAAACGCTTGCATGCTATGTGAAATCACACACAGGGAAGCCAATATGGTGGCTTGTTGGGTTTAGTGTAAGCAAGCGAAGCTGTTATTAAGGGGGACTTCTTAATGGATATAGCAGGACCTCTACAGAAAAGAGATACAGCTAGTTTACAGCGGGTCACGGTACTAGACACTTTTTCTAAGGCCGTATTTCACTTGAAAGGGAAAACTTTGACCAAGCCACGAAACTTCGTCCAAATGGAAATACTGTGATGTTAAAAAAGAATATGACTAAAGATAGAAGGGAGAAACCAAAAGCTAGGCAGCTGGACAGATAGAAAAGAAACGACATGGCACATGCCAGCTTGGTGAGTTTTTTTGCGTAGGTGGAGGTAGACGGAAAGCAGGTGGATGTTTAGACAGAGCGATAAGACAGCCTGGCTGACAGAACGCCTGATAAGCAGCCTGACTGTCAGGTTTGGCAGGCTGGTGGCGAAGCAAGAGAACAGGGCATGGAGGAGAGAAAGACAGATGGCTTAAACCAAATAAAGGCAACTCAGTAATTCTAAGAGCATAATTTAGAAGTGGTGCACCTGCTCTTGAGTTTGCCACTGAGAGCTACACTGAATGCAAATCTGGACTATTCAGTTCTATGTAGGACAAGCAAGGCTGACAGTTGTGCTGAATTTAGATCTTGTGCTAAGACAGCACTGACCACTGTGGGTGTATTTCTCATATTTTGGCATTGTGTAGTAACTAGCAGGGTAATTTTTAGCAAAAAAAGCGTCCCAGACTAAAGGATCTCAACAACCATTGAATGGGTTGTCATGAAGTTCTGCACAGACATTCATGGTATCCAGAGGATAAAGCTTAACAATGTGATGCATCTGTTGCCAGCTGCAGATCAAAAGTTATCTCAACAAAAATAACTTTGGACTAAGATGTTGATGGTGGTGAACATAATTTGTGATAAACAACACAATGTTAATTTTGGGATCGTGTGCATGTTAGCACGCTGATGTTAGCATCTGGACCACGCCTTAGCCCAGTTGTCATGTAAAAGATGTAGGCACTGGACAGGAAATTGTGTTGTTCTGAAACTAGTGAAGACATTTACTTTGTGCTTGGTGTTGCTGTAGGCATAAGACATTTAATCTTGCTTGCCTTGATAAAATGTTTTGTGTTTCTGTGTTGAAGATTACTGTGTTCATATCAACCACTCCCCTAATTGTTTTTTATTCAGTGGCTGTATGATTTTATGTCATTCTTTTCAATTATCTAATCATTTTCCAGGCCTGCGTCAAGGTCACATCTATAGTGCTGCTAACCACATCATGTATCTTGTCTTTATGTTTCAGGGAAACCCCAAAGCATTGAGAGCTCTGAGCGGGTCCAGCTGTCAGGGACATACAACGTTCGGAAAGGGAAGCTTCAGCTACCGGTCAACCGCTGGACCAGGCGGCAGGTCATCCTGTGCGGCACCTGCCTCATCGTCTCCTCTGTTAAAGAGAGCCAGACAGGGAAGATGCATATCCTGCCGCTCATTGGAGGAAAAGTACGTGAAAGGCGCACCACAGCAGGGAAATAACTTGGATTGCTCCTCCTCCTCGTCTTTATAGTGTTGTGTAATTTATGCTTTGGATGATAAACTCATAATGTCATATCACCATGGACTGACCTGACAAAGTGTCATTACCCTCTACAAATGTCTACCGCAGGGAGGTTTGTCCTCTGCGACATTTTTCGTTCAGCAACTGTTTGTCCTTAAGTTTGTCGGCTAGTAAGGCTCCCTGCTTTGTTCACTTCAGTTCAAGGTCAAACAGAAATGATGCAAGCCAGGCTCCACAAAGTCAAAATGTTTTTTTTGTCCACTTCTCATCTGGAGTCGAGACATGCAATAATCCTTAGTGTAATGGATCCCTATTACATCCAAGTGGCTTTATTTCTCTCTATAAACCACCTGCCTAAAAATGACCTTTATCTGTTTATTGCTTTATGGATCTGTGTAAGCTCCGAGGGCTCCTCTGAATGTCCCTTTTATACTCGTCTGCTCGACACAAAGGACACTCCATACTCCGCCACACCTAGTTCTTAAACATTTCTCGAACAGCACATGACCTCTAGTCAACCATTCATGCAAAGAGTGCCTCTGCATGTGCCTGTATGTGGTGTGTTTGTGGGCATGTGTGCCAGTATTCTATTCAGTAAGTTAACCAGTCAGCCATTCATTCTCTGCGTGCGACTCTGCGTGTGACTCTGCGTGTCTAAAAAGCAATTTCACATACATTTATTCTTGCTCATGTCACGCACATCATATGATCATGCGTGCCTTATATATTTTCATGAGTATGCTTCCGGCTGGGTGCATTTGTTTACCCTGCAGTCATTTAGCATCTTATTTCCTTCAGCAGAGGCCATTTCGAATAAGAGATAATCTATTGAGACGCCAATGTGTCAGCTTTTCCTCTCTATTTCCTCCCTCCCCTTCTTGCTATTGTCTGACTCTATATGCATGGGTTTATCATTTATATTCAGAGTGGGGGTCAGAGATGTCAGTATTTCAGACTAACATCAATCCTGTGTGTGTGTGTGTGTGTGTGTCATGCTGCAGGTGGAGGAGGTGAAGAAGCACAATCACTGTTTGGCCTTCAGCTCAGCGGGCCCTCAGAGTCAAACCTACTACGTCAGCTTTGACAGCTTCACGGAGCACCTGCGCTGGCACAGACACGCTGCCAAGGTACTGGCTGTGTGTATGTGGATGGGAGTAAGACGAAGAAAAGTTGGAGAACATGAGCATATGCTCCCCAGTGATTCTTATGGGTCAGATGCATGGTATATTAGGGGTGATTGCAAGTTGAAGTATGAAAATATGGGTCTGCAATCCCACCGCCTGAGATAAGTAGACTGAAAAGTGCACATTTCACTACTGTCCACTCTGTAGTATACACTTTAACCCAAGTGTCACTGGGAGCATAAACACCACTCATGTCTTTCTGTCTCTCTCTCTCTCTATCTATCTATCTCTCTCTCTCTCTTTCTCTAATTTGAACTCAAGTAGGCCATAGCCAGAAACCCTCCTTTCTAAATATTAACAGGGACATGCATGTCACCAGCACCCAGAGGGCCACTCAGAATAGGAGCCTGGAAAGAGGCAGCACGTGCCCCAGTGACAACTGCTAAGCCTCTAGCTAACTCTGCTCTGAAAGTTCACACACTGTAGATTTTGTCTCGAGCCCGATTTAATGTTTATGCATTTCATAGACAGAACAGTAAGTGCATTTATATTTCCTCAGTTCAAGTTCTATAAACGTGGTTGTATTTGTGTTGTCTCTGTGCTGTTTTTATTGAAGTTTATGGTTAAACTGTAAAATATCAGAACTCAGTTACATTTCTGTCTAGATAAAATTGTTTTACATATATTAGTCTGCATCTCCCTCCATAAATCCCAACTGGTTGGCCTATAATTTTCTCAGATACAAAGACTTGCAGAGATGCTGTCGTTTCATTGTAGATTTCAGCTTCTGTGTTCCTGTAAATTTGATAAACAAATGACCAGAGGTTAACTGCTCCACACACCTGCAGCTAGCTAGATTAGGTGATGATGTAATGTGTGATGTTAGGTCACTAACCGGTGGGACTTTCCCTTGACTTCTCCTGACTCTCTAATCCTAAAACGATTTGCTGGTGAATGACATATGACCCTTTAGCAGAAGGCTATACACACACAATCACACACAGGCACACATGCACACACACAGTAAACCATTTGAGTCGTGTGGGAGCGATAATCCTGTTAACTCTCTTTCGTTCTCTCTTTCTCTCTCTTTCTGTAACCTTCTCCACCCTTGCTGCTTTCCTTGCCACCTCCATCTAGATGGTGTCCCAGAGAATAAACTCGGTAGACCTGTCTTGCTGCAGCCTTGAGCAACTTCCTACCAACCTCTTCTACAGTCACGACCTTACCCACCTCAACCTCAAACACAACTTCCTGCCTGCTGACCAGCGGTTGCAGCAGCTGCAGAGGTACAGTGCCATCGTAAATCTACAGTAAACACACCTGGGGCTGAACTGTAAGGACTGGGCAGGATGGGTAGGAAGAGGTGAACAATAAGAAGGGTTGCATTACAGGTTGAGGAGGCCGGGCGGGGGGGTTTGAATTGGCTGATTCGGGCAAGATGAGACTTGAGAAGGTTTAGCAAAGCTTAACATAATTTGGCCACAGCAGAAAACGGGCAGGACTGTTTGTACATGGAAGAGAGAGACGGGACACATCAAGGCTTTACTGGACACAGCAGGTCATGGCTGGCTGCTTTGGAGTGCTACAGCTTTTGCCTACAGTTTGCAAGCCATCGATCTAAGCAGCCTGTGGCAGTTGGCACACGGAGACAGACGAGGCTAGCCAGGGCTGTGCTATAGCAGGCCAGGCCAAACGAGCTCAGAACCGAGAAGGGTAGATGCATCTGCAGGGAGGCTTTTAATGTCCCTGGCCTCCCTCACTCTCTCTCACTGTGGGCACCATCTGCTGCATGCTTATCATGCTCACAGATTAAAGCTTGCATCCAAGACTTTGTGTGTGTGTGTGTGTGTGTGTGTGTGTGTGTGTGTGNCAAACAAGCTGGCACCGACAGTTTCTGTATATTGTAATTATAAAGTGTGGCAGTGAACTCACTCTTAGAGAACTCCTGATACGTTCTGATCGGTAGATGAGCCGACGGCAGACTCTCCTTTGAGAGATTTTTGCAGCGTCCTTTTTTCCTCGTGTCCCTCAGTGCGTTCAGCACCGGCTCCGTCTGCACCTCCTGCACAAACAGACAAGAATCTCATTTAATACACTGACTGAGGGCAGGTCAAATGTGTGTGTGTGTGTGTGTGTGTGTTAAACACGCGCGAATGTCTCAGAATTTCTCTCTGAAAATGATCGGCAGAAGTTTGCAAAAGATGAATTAATTGTGTGAATCTGATGCCTTAGTATGTGTATGCAGAATGGAGCATGTGCGTGTGTGCATGCGTGCGTGTGTGTGTGTGTGTTAGGGAGAGGGAGAGAGTTGCTTGCTTGTATGAAACAGAAACAGTGGCTGCGGGCTACAGATTTTGGGTCAGTGCATACACAGTCTTGATACAGTATGGCATTCTTTGTTTTCTCTATGAGATGGCTGTTCATCTTTTTACACAGTCACGATGGAGATTTATCTTCCTTATGGGGACAAAAATCAAGTCCCCTTATTTTAAATCATTACTTTTTAAGGTGAATACATTTTAAGGTTAAGGTAATAGTTAAAGTAAGGGACGCAGTATTTTCCTATTTTCCCTCTGAGGTTGTGTATGCTTTATGTCCTCCTGATAGAAAGGATGGATGAGAAGGAGATCCTAGTTTTTAAATATGTCCATTTGAATAATGAAGATATAGATGATGTGGGAAATATTTGTAAAATCTAAGCAAGTGATTCACAGCTCCCCTGCTGGACAAGCAAGGTAACATCCATTTAGCTTTGCCAAACCCTAAGTAGGCTCATCCGCGTTTGACCCAGCACGAGAGAAAAAGAGGTCAGTAATGAGAAAGAGATGAATAGTTAGCTGAAAATAGAGGGCTTTTGACATATAGAAGCATGTAGCAGAGTCAGTGGCGTATCCTCTTTGCCCCTGAGAGACTGAAATCAAAAGAGCTGGAGCCACAAACAATAATCCACTGTGTGCAGCCAGTATGAATGTGGGTGTATGTGTTTTGGTGTGGGGAGCTGTGTGAGAGTCTGTTTTTGTTTCAATACAAACACTGGCCTTCTCTGACATCTAACATGGAGTCATAGTGCTTTGTATTTTTCCAAGAGCAATGGAATGTGTGAACCTGTCACATGCCTCTCCCCTTCCTCTCTCTCTGGCCATATAATAACTGGTGGGTGAACTGCCAATCAGATATGCATAATCAGTTGTCTGGGATACTGGCTCTTTCCTCTGGCGTGGTTTTGTCTTCCCAGCATGCATCTCTCACTTTGAGACAGAGGTCACCTCTCACTGAGGGCAATGCATGGCTGACATCACCTGACTTATAACTGAATCGTCTGCCTGATTATTTACATATCCATGACAGTTCAGGGAGTTACAACAGACATAAACATCAAGGGAGTGAGCGGGGGAAGGAAGTCCGAGTAGTGGCAGAAATAAAATAGTTTTTTAAGTGAAGGGATTAAAGTTGCTTTAACTGTCTAACCAGAAGAAGTGGCCAAAAACAATATGAACAAGTCTTTTTTTTTTCTCTTCACCAACTCACAAAACAATCATCTAACTTTTAGCTGGTTGTGTTCCACTACATTCATCTAGTTGCTAACTTTGTCTGTCTGTTGTTTGTTGCTGTGTACAGTGGGTTTATCTGATCTTTAGCTGAACATAACAAAGCAAATATATATAAATGAGGATCGTGATCGTGACAGGAGTTTCATACTGCAATAACAAAACAACGAGCTTAACGACCTCAAAATGCTGCTGTGGTGAACCATAGTCATGTTTAATAATTAAATAACAAATACTGATTAACAGGTTGAAACCTACGCCGACAGCTATTTTTGAATACTTGAGACAAGCTGTTGATAACATAATTACCATATAAAGTTATGTATAACTTGTTAGCAAACAAGTTTCGAAGGCATGAAACAATGCTGCTGGGTTTCTATAACACCTAGTCATTGTTGTGTTTGTGTATCTAGGGCTTAGTTTTGTAGTTTTGGTTTTAGTGTTATTAAGCCAGTTGTTAAGTTTGTCTCTCTGCTGTTTGTGTGCAGGCCTGTCATATATTTGGTTTATCAGGACTGTTCGCTAATGATTACATGTTGTTAAAGCTGCTAGTAAGATAATAAGCTAGTGCCAGTAAAGTTAAGGGCCAAAGCAGCAAAACATTAAGTTAAAAGGGGCTAAAAGGCTCCAAAGAACGAAGATGAACCATAGAGTTGCTTTATAATTTAACAGGAAAATAAAACTATGGCTACTTTAAAATTTCAAACCAAGCATCAAAGACAACAATAACTAGATCTATAGGGAACTGCATATTTGGAGGTGAAAAAATGATGAGGCCTCCTTTAAATACACAAGGAAAGAGCGTAGCATGATGGGATAGAATGACAAAGCATGACACAGACAAGGGGAGCGTCTGGGGAGGAGCTATGAGCATTACTCAGCAGATTGCAGAGGTTGATTTAATAGCGGAATGACATTTTCCCACACACCCCCACCCACCGCCTGCAGGAGTCACCCTCAGCTGGAATTACTTGGCCACCCTAATCAATAGCCCTGACATCTTGTTTGCCTTTTTCCTCCATCACCGTGATATACTGTGTGTGCATTTGTGTGTGTTTGTAACCTGTGTGTGCACATGGGGATAAAAACCTGACATTTTGCCAGTTTCAGCAGCTGCTCCAGCCGGCAGTACTAATGTGGTCTGCTGCCAATCTCTGACTTGACATAGCTGCTTTATCTGTGGTGCATGATAGGTGATAGCAGGTTGCCTGTGCGTGTGTGTCTGTATTTGTGTAGATGGATAATTAAGGACAGAGAGAGTCCTTTCCCCCCTGCTCCGCCTCATTCCCTTGGCTACCGCCCCACTGAGGGGCTAACCCATCTGAAGGTCACCGCTCTGCCATGGGACACCACGCCAAATGCCACTGGTCATCGGTGTTTGAATGAAAAACACAGATGTCAATGTCATGCTTGTTTGCTCAACAATCAAATACGAAGGTTTAGTCCAAAGGAAGGCTTTGTTCATGGGTGTGATGAGTCTACCTGTGTTTTTCACTTAAACAAATTCAGTGTTAGCTTCACTTTGCCCATGAATCTATTTCATTAATATATTTATGAACATCTTCTCTCCTGCAATATTAATGTCGACAAGATACAACTACATCTCCAATCACTCTTCTGTTCTTCTCTTCTCATGTCTCCTCTCAGTCTAAGCTCCCATTGATTATTTTCTGTCATGTTTCAGGTTTTCCCGTCTGCGAAGCCTCAACCTGTCCAACAACCATCTCAGTCAGTTTCCCCTCGCCATCTGTGACATCCCCACCCTGACGGAGGTCAACCTCAGCTGTAACTACCTGGCCTCTGTGCCCAGCTCCGTGGGAGCTATGTCCAAGTAAGTAACAACAGGAGGTTGTTGACACAGGTCTGATGTGATGAGACCCCACTGTATGTCTCAAGATCTAAATCTTTCACCTACCTGAATCATAAGTTCATACACATTGTAGCTCTATATATTACACCACATCTGGTCCTACTCTGTTACTTATTGAATTATTGATTTTGTTTTATGTGTTTACCTTCCCTCTCCCTGTTATTGGTTGTTACGGGTTTACCACTGTCATGAGACCAGTGTTTGCACTGATGTCAGGGCTTTGGAAACAGACCAACTATATTTTTTCTAGTTTGAGTGTCAAAAGTTTATATAGTCAAATGTTGCCAAACAACAAGCACATCACGTAACAACTGTCATGGTGCACTTTGCTACTTTCAGCATGTGATTTAACAGCATTGAAACTTGCACTGATCATCTGTGGTGTGAGTGAGTCACAGCCTTGTTCCTGGTCGGTATCATTTCTCCTTGCTGTATTTATATATTCTCTTTTTCTTCTACTTTATTCTGGGCTAATCTGTTGTACAGATCTTTTGAGCTCTTCCTCTAATATTTTGGTAGTTTTTAATTGCAAGCTTCTTGCATGTCCTTGAGGAATCAAATGCCAATAAAACACTCATTTCTATTTCATTAATCTTTTGATGTTGGCTGAGAAATTATTTTTTGATGTCTCTGCCACCCAAAATTAAAAAAAATCTTCATTCCACGCCATGATTTTCAATAGGACAGATCAAGCTTTTCATTTAAAGTTGAGCTCCGGTATCGACCACCTTCCTAGTTGAAAAACCCTTTTACTCAATTCAGAAAAACGTGTCCGCTAAACTGTTAATGGAATAAGGGCCTGAACTCACAGGAGGCGTCAATCACTCCATGGATGGTTCAAGATGTCACTGCTTAAAAAAAAAGACTGGACTGGAAAATATACCAAGCATTTTAACGTGGTATATAAAGAGCTCAAGTGATAAATGTTTATTACTGACAGCTTGGTTTGGACTTGTACTTCAAATTTAAATGATTTGAAAATATATACACTGGTATGTGGTTTGAAACATGATGAAATGAGAAGTTAATCTGCCTGAATGATCTGGTATGCCTGTAGATTCCTGAAGTGGCCAGTAGGGCATTTATGATGCTACTGCCACCTGCTGGATATTAAGTTTAGTGATCATGAGTACTGAGTATTTGAAATAGCCCTTATCAGTACAGTGGCATTTCCCCCTCAGAGCTACTTTCTGTGAAAATGAAGAATCATCATTTCTTATCACCTCTTGAGGTCAAAAGTCTGATTTCATGTTCCTCTCTCAGCTTGCAGACGTTCCTCTTGGATGGCAACAGTTTAGATGAGCTGCCCAACGAGCTGGGATCCCTCCAGAGGCTGAGCTACGTAGGTCTGTCCTTCAACCAGTTCAACCACGTTCCCCAGGTGCTGGAGCGTTTGACCTCCATGGAGAAGCTGTGCATGGCCGGCAACAACCTAGAAACACTCGTCCTGCAGAATTTCAGACTGCTCCGAGTCAAACACATCGATTTAAGGTACAACAATACGTGCAATATTTAAAAAAATGTACTGATTATATATGATAGGGTGTTTATAATTATTCTCTGACATGTCATAAACGAACATCACGTTAAATCCTCAGCCATACATGTGTCAAACACTGTACTCAATGACCCGTTATCCCACTAATGATGGAAACAATAACACTAAGAAGAAGCCAAAACGTGATCAGACAGCCGGACAGCACGGAATCAGGAAATCATTTGCCTGTAGTGGCTCCATCAGGTGTCTTCGCATTGAGTGGAAAAGCACAGAGCTGTGGTGACTTGCAGTATTCTCCAGTTAATACTTGACTTCTTCTGACTTTGTTTAAACGGGGTCAGTAAATAGGTTTTCTAACGTTTCTCACCTGTTGGAGCAAAGATCACGTGGCATCTCTGATGCGGTTGTGGTCCTATTTGGAAACCACAGTGCTAAAAGTCATGTTAAAGTTAATGTATTTGAGTTTTGAC